AGCTATTCCTTGAATGCCCTGGTAAACTATGCAGAGCATGTTTAATCTTCAGGCACATATTATCTGCCAAGAATATATTTCAGAAATTGGTAATGTGACAATGAATGGCGCTCAAACTGCTGAGCACTAGGAAAATATTTGTTTATTTAACAATTCTAGCCAAAAGGTTACATATGCCCTTGCTAATCCAATCAGCATTCAGTCCATTTAAATCCTAGATCAGAGTTGGACAACATGTCTCAGAATATTCTTCTCCTACAATGCAAGCAATCGTCTTTTCCTTTGTTGTGTTTGAAGTGAAAGTGCTCCTTAGTTGTAATTTATATTGCGAAACATTGATTCAGCATTTTGGACTTGAGTGCCTAAAAAGCACAATAAAACACAGCCTTTATCAGCGTTATTTATTTATAGCATTTTATTATCCTTCTCTGAATAGAATCAGCTTTAATTTTGCTTTTAAAGATACTATATTTCATTGCGCACTTTTCTCCATAGCTTCAAGGGGGCAAGCGTGTAGGGGAGTCGTGCCATTCATTCATTCAGCTAGGCAGGTTTGCAAGCAAGGGAATAAAGGGTCCAACTATTGGGCGAGGAATAGTAAAATATAAATTTTGACATCTAAAAAATGGGGATCCAACTTATATGTGATGGTGTCGATTATGAAAAAAACATAATGGTGAAAAACAGTAGTCCCTGTGTTTATGGACTTGCCAACTTCACAGATATAACACAAAAGGAAAACAAGATGTGGAAGGAATAGAGGAAGCAAGCAGTGTTTTAGCAAAGCTGATGGGATGGTACCGTTTCTCCCAATGTTTTCCTCTGTTTCAGCTAGCTAGAAAGCATACTAGAGGGGAGAGCTGAAAGAGCCTCCAGGGAGGTGTCTTTCAGAAGAGTTTGAAAGGAATGGTCCTGTTTCCCATCACATTCCCCTCTTCTGCAGCATAATGGAATGAACGTTAGATGTGCCTGTAAAGCACTGGTTCTCAACTTGTGGATCCCCAGATGTTTTGGCCTTCAACTCCCAGAAATCCTAACAGCTTGTAAACTGGCTGGGATTTCTGGGAGTTGTGGGCCAAAACAGGTTGAGAACCACTGCTGTAAAGAAAGGAGCCTGATGGAGTTTCTCTTTTTAGCACAGCTAGCGCTTGCTTCCCACCTACCAATTGCTGAGAAAGTGGGACATTCTCTGTGACAGCAGAACTCCTTCCTGACCAGAGAAGTACCAGACAACCACCTCCACTGATGGGGGAAAGAGCCTAAGGCCATAGGTAAAATAAAGGTTCTACTCTATCTGTATTTCATGGCCGGAATCACTGGGTTGCTGTGAGTTGTTTCAGGCTGTATGGCCATGTTCCAATTGCATTTTCTCCTGACGTTTTGCCTGCATCTATAGTAACCTTTCTCAGAGGCTTCTTCAGAGGTCTGTTGGAAATGAGGCAATTGGAGTGTATATATATCTATGGAATATCTATCTATTTAACTAAGAAATAGTCTACTCTATACCCATTTAATAGATGACAGAGCTTTTGCTTTTTGACATCCCCCTGAAAGATTTGGCATGTTTATTAACTCTACCTTATTTTTAACTATTATCCAAGTTTTAATGTCTGATTTTATATTTATATCCTGAATAATTTACTAGAAATCATTATTGTGGTTTAATCTGGTGCTTTTAAATAATATGAATTCATTATAACACTTTACTTATTTACCTTCTGAAAGCATGGTCTACACTCTTTTACCTTCTGAACTTGTATTACCTTCTGAAAACATGGTCTACAGTCCAAAAGCCATGGTCACTATTAATTGTCACTCAGTCACACAAGTTAACTATCCAGTTCTTGATAGCATGGTCTGAACAAAGAAAGTTAACCGTATGCTCAGTGTTTTCTTCTAGGTGTATGTTATTATTGCCATTAGACAAAATCAGATAGCAGAAACAATGTAAGTTTTACAATAATTGTGGCCTTTTTGCACTGGAATGTTTACGAAAAGCAAATAATGAAAGTCTTGCCCCCTCCCCCCCACCCACACACACTATTCAACATAAGTCATAATAATGCTCTGCTTTGTGGAGTGGGTATAAATAGAAATAATAATAATAATAATAATAATAATAATAATAATAATAATGGCAACCTCACATTTATATGACTATTTAACTAATGAGAAAAAAGATGAAGATTTTTTTTCATGTTCATAAGGAAACTATGACAGGAACAACCCTGGTTTGACAGAATTTTTGCAGTTCAGCAATTATTCTGTACAGATTTTACACATTTTCAAAATACTGCATTTGATCATTTGTCTTTTATTGGCACAATCATCATCATTTGCCCATAGCAAAAGAGGTTAGCACAAAGCATTTTTAAATATATATATATATACATATATAATAAACATACATGGGGGCAAAGTGATAAAGTAAAGAGCCCCACATTTTGCAGAACTGCTTATAGAACTGAAGAGCAGCAAATGCACAAAGGGAATGACGAGGGAGAGAAACCAAAAGAGCAAAGAAATTGGCACTTGGATCAGAGATAAAGAAAATGAAGAAATTGGCTGCCTGCCAGGATACTTTTTGTGTGTGTGACTAGAAGGATGTGGAAATACCACTTCCTTAGATTTCCAAGGGGCAAAACCTCAACTTGAACATTAGTAAAATGATTTGACAGATACATTATTTGGTCATTTTTCCAATCTTTTGGTTCACATCCACTGAATTATTTTATTCCCTTAGGCTTTTAGGGGGGGAATGAAGCACTGTTTTATGGATTCTTGAAGGCACTCCATCTTCATGTAAAATTGTAAATATTTGCATCACCCTATCTCACTGCATGACTACCACACTGTCACAACAGAAAGAGGGCAGTATTATTTGGTGCAACTGTTTACATACCCTAATTTCAAAGTGGTGTGCAAGAAGTCATAGGACTGGGATCATAACGTGTCTATATATTTTAAAAAAGCAAGTGCTTTCAAATGAGGCTAATATATTACTTACATTATTTCTCCATAATCATTTTTGTTTTGAATTTTCTGTAAACCAACTGAAAAGGTTTATCATTCACTAGATGAGCATATAGTCTTTTCAAATATTATCTTTAGCTTTCTACCTTGACATATAAGATTCACAAGTGCCACATTTCAGATGAAAGCATGCATTTGTTTTTTCTTTTGAATATATTCTTTAGTTGTATTTTCATTCTCTGATACAATCTTTACTTTGATTAAGCATTAAGTTAAACTCCAGGTAAATCACAGACATCTGCACTGACCACTTAGGTTGGAACAGGCTTGGATCTGTTCCTTGGCAGCCAAAAGCTAATTCGCATTAACTGGAGTTGAGAAATAGTTCGAATTATGGGCTGAGTTATGCCTAATTTTGGGAGCATTTCAACAGTTGGGTCAGTTCTGGAACAGAATGGCACTTACCATGCCTTCCTGAACTCTGCATTGCAGCCGTCTCTGGCCATAAATGGGTTTTACCTGTTTGTCGTTGCCTTCAGTGACATCAAGCAAGACCATGGGGCAATCAAGGAAGGGTGGGAGACAGGGGAAATTTCCCCCTCCCTTGACACACTGTTGTTCTGGCTGATGTCACTGCAAGTGATGCCATCCAGAAACTGCCATGACAGTATACTGGGTAGGTGTAGATTTGCCCAATCCACATAGCAATAGTGGGACTGGATGTAATGCCGTCTCTAGATCAGGGGTCCTCAAACTTTTTAAACAGAGGGCCAGGTCACAGGTCCTCAAACTCTTGGAGGGCCAAATTATAATTTAAAAAAAACATGAACGACTTTCTATGCGCACTGCACATATCTTATTTGTAGTGCAAAAAACACTTAAAACAATACAATAATTAAAATGAAGAACAATTTTAACAAATATAAACTTATTGGTATTTCAATGGGAAGTGTGGGCCTGCTTTTGGCTGATGAGATAGGATTGTTGTTGTTGTTGTTGTTGTTGTGTGCTTTCAAGTAATTTCATACTAAAGTTGACCCTGAGCAAGGGCCGGGTAAATGACCTTGGAGGGCTGTATCTGGCCCCCAGGCCTTAGTTTGGAGATCCCTGCTCTATATTGTTCTTAGCATGAAACAAGTATTTCTAGTAAACAGTCATGTCCTGTATTTTCTTTCTTGTGTTGTCTTAAATCATTTTCTGTTATCCTTTTCCCATGAACTCTGGTTTATTCATAAAGCATATATTTTCATGCCAATTTTAATCTTGTTTTCCCTAGTTAAAACAACCACAGCCTATCAGAGGGCTCTGAAGCTCCTCTGTCTGACACCTTAGAACGCTGCTGCCAATCAAAATTGACAATACGTGACTAGATTCTTTCTATATAAGGCAGCTTTATAGGTACAGAAATTAATCCAGAAGGCTGCCATGGTCAAGAGTCATTTTCAAGCCATACAGAATCAGCCAGTGCTCTGATGGGCTGCACTCCTCAAAGGTTTGAGACTTAAAACTTAAACAAACTTAAACAGAGTGACATATGACTGCAAAATAGCCTATAAGGGGAGAATTGAGTACGTCAAGAGAATAATCATGGACAATATAACTTTGTAAGGCTTTTGCATCAGTACCCACTAAGGTAACAGAATAGTTATTGTCCTTTCTTGATTTACAGCTCAGAGTGTAAAATACTATAATCAGATGTCTCTTTCTAGTTAGTTATCACTTCAGATTTCAATTATCACTGAAATTTCACCAAAGGAGATCTCCAAAATAATGTCTGTGGCAGCAGGGTCGGTGAGGGTTATCCTTGGATAAAGTATGTGAAGAATATAGAGAGAAGCCCTAGCAATAATATTGGGGAAATAATTCTGCAAATGATTATTTCAAATATCTTTTAGATAGGAGATGTAGCGTAATAAAATGGATAATTTAAGGTAAAATAACAGACCTGTACATTTCAGATAGCAACATATAAATTGCAAATATATGTTAACTGTTATAAAGAATGTACAACAAAGAAATATACTTACAGTACTTTATAGAATTCAAAGCAGAGGCTGAATCTGAAAAAAAAACAACAAAGGATATAGTATGATTTAATTTTTTTAAATTCTTTAAAAATTACACACTTTAATAGCAAAAGAAAGCACTCTGAACCTGCTATTTTCAATCCCTTGTTGCCTTAATTATCTGTCTGTAATTTCAGAATAGATCTTTAGAAAACTTTTGTTGTACCAATGAAATTAAGTTTAATTACATATAATTCATTGTAAATGTATATGTTTCATGGAATGTTTTGAAAAACAAATTATAATATTTCTTAAAAGCAAACCATAGGTTGAGCATCTCTTGTCTGGAATCTTGAAATCCAAAATACTTCATCATCCAAAATAATCCAGATGAGTGGCTGAGATAGTTACACCTTGGCTTTTGAACAATTCAAGGTACACAAACTTTATTTCTTGCACAAAATATTTAAAATATTGTATAAATTTTCATTCAAGCTATGTGCATAAAGTGTATAAAATCCAAAATACCTTTGGCTCCAAGCATTTTGGATAAGGGATCCTCAACCCATATATGCTTAAAGGTCATAGTAAGAAGGAGCATACATGTTACACTGCCAGAGGAAGGTCTGCTTACAGAATGGTGTCACACAGCACAAAAGATGCCTCATGCAGGATAAGATAAGCAACCAAAAGAAAAACCCAGTTACTGCATTAGACATACTTGAGTGAAGGCCTGTAGCGAGGGGGGGTTAGGGGTTCAACCCCCCCCCCCCGAAATGTTTCAGAGTTTTTAAAAAACCTGGTTTACTCATGAATTTTAACTGGTTAACCAAATTCCCATGCTAAGTCACTGTTGTATGTTTTTATGTTGGATTTTTTTATATTGTGTAAATGCTATTTTAAATTGTAAGTCACTTGGAGCACCTTGGTGGAGAGCGACTAATTAAGAAATAAAGTGAAGTGAAGTGAAGATGCAAAAAATTAAGAGTCCCTCCAGAACTGCAAGCACTATCACAAGCAAATATTGACAATTTATCCACACTGTCATTACTTGCAGCAATAGCTGATGTAGCGAAGCAACCAAGTTGTGTGTGTGTGTGTGTGTGTGTGTGTTGAATGCTCTCATTAAGGAGGCCAGACTTGGTGGAGGTGGTTGACGGGGACAGAGATGCAGGCAATTGAAGGCTGCTCTGTCCCCTGCAGATGTGGTCTTTGCTTCAGCGTGAGCTGAGGCAGGTTTCAACCCCCCCGTTAAATTTTCAAACCCCCCTCCCCCGAAAATTTCAACCCCTCCCGAATTTTTTTTCTGGCTACGGCCCTGCTTGAGTGTATGAAAATCACTTCCTCCCAATATTGTTTCACCTACATATGTGGAAAGAACGATAATAGAGAGAGAAATTGGTTCTTTCTTGACGTACATTTTCCGATGAGCAGTGGGTATCAAAAGGGATAAGTGTCTTGACTTCCATTACTTTGTGGATTTTGTAACTTTTGTTTTTCATCATTATGTTTTTTCATAATCAATGCCATCGCATATAAGTTGGATCCCCATTTTTTGGATGTAACATGAAGTTTTGCCACAAATACCTGCATTCTTGATATTGTTATTGAGCAATGAGAACAGACAAGAGGAAAAATGCCTTCCAGTGCATATATAGAATAGTTCAAGTTTTGAGAAAAAAAACCTAGCATGAACTATAAAAGTCATCTTATTATTTCGTAGTTAAAATAGCAGCTTGATTTGACAGTGGAACAATTACACGGTGGAAGTAATCATACACAGGGAATTAAATACATGAATAAAAGTTACCTACAAAAGATAAGAATAGAAAGACTTACAAATCATGTAGCAAATACTATGATGGAAACTTTGCCACAAAAATCTTTAACATTTTAAAAAAAAATTAGATATATGACTGATGAGCTTGTAGCTAATTATCTACTTGTTTATAGAACAAACTGCATGAAAGCTACATATGCTGAAAACTCCTGTTAAATACAACCATGAAAGATAGAAAAGGCCTGTTGTACTTTGTATCCGGTCACACTCTGAAAGGCAAACAATAATAATTCAAAGGGAAAACTTTGATTTTACATCTTCTTAAGTGAGAAATGGTAATCAGGTTGAAATACTGAGAGGAAAGTTCCAATCACTTGAAGCAAGGGTTGAAGTGTCTTACTAAATAATAATACAAATCGACTGATATTCCCCAGGTCAACCTCCTTCCAAAAATTCACAAACACCAGATTCATTAATCAGTTTTTCTCCAATAATGAAGGTTAACAAAAGTTACAAAATCCACAAAGTAATGGAAGTCAAGACACTTATCCCTTTTGGTACCCAGTGCTCATCGGAAAATGTACGACAGGAAAGAACCAATTTCTCTCTCTATTATCGTTCTTTCCACATTAAACAAATTCAAAACACATTATATTCTTCCCTCCTCATAATCAAGTTCCCTTTCTTTCTGTTAATCTGCAAAACGTACTGGAAGCGAATATACATAATTGTTAACATACACGTGGTTGGATGTTACAGCCTAATTAAGACATACTGAATAAACATTCCCAATTTTGCATGTTTTATTCTGCAGATTTTTTTTTTACTGTTGTATATAATTTACTTTGGTTTTGCAAATCATGGAAGAGGGGCAACAATCAATACAGTCTATCATAGATCAGTTGTTGTCCAAAGTCTGGCAACTGTCACCTATCAATACCATAAATCTCTATTTCTATTATCTGGACAAGAACAACTTTTGCTAAGATATTTATATATAATGAAACCTTCTGAAATATGATATCCTTGAATTTAAGAATGAATATTCAAATAAACAGTTGAGTAACTCTCAATCCATCCTACACAGATGGACTGCTCCAGTCTTTGGCCAAGTACCAGCTATCACAGCCATTGAAGTAAAGGCAGCCATACAAAAAATGAAGAACGGAAAGGCCACTGACCCAGATGACATACCAGCTGTAATCTGGAAAATGCTCAAAAGCTGTCGGGCCACCTTTCTAGCATCACTTTTCAACAAAATCATAACAGAAAAATCCCCCCTCCCCGCAAAGGACTGGACTACCAGTATTACCATACTAATTTAGAAGGGCAAAGGAAACATCTGCAATTGTTCATCATACCTCCCAATATGCCTGCTGTGTCAAGCAGAGAAAGTATTTGAAAGAATACTGGACAAAAGGCTAAGAAGTCACACAATCATTACACCAAGTCAGTGTGGCTTTGTCGGGGAATGTGGCACATTAGATGCAATACATACTGTCTGGTTACTAATGGAAAAACATTGGGAAAAAGAAGAAACCACTGTATTTTGCATTCTTTGATCTTGAAAAAGCATTTGATCAGGTTCTTCATGACCTGATCAGGCAAGCACTACGGTCACACGGAATACCAGAAGACTATGTAACATGGATGAAGCTACTAGATAATAATACAACAAGTATGGTTTGCTGCCCTGAAGGGATTTCACCACCCTCCAACATAACGGTTAGTGTGCATCAGGGATCAACACTCTCACCATTACTATTCATACTCTGCATGGGCACTACTACAGCAGATTTGTAGACTATGCATCCCTGGACACTCCTATATGCAGATGACATAGCACTTGGCCATCAAAAACATGCAATCCTCCAACAACTGCTGTAGAAATGGAGTGATAGATTCAGTGAAAATAGATTTCAACTGAACATACCCAAAACAGAATATCTTGAATGTGACCTACAAATAGGGAAAAAAACAATTCAAATCAATGGACAAACACTAAAGAATGCAACCCAATTTAAATACCTAGGGTCACTGGTCTCCATAGATGCCAGATGTATGGCCATGAACAAATGCAGCCTGGTTGAAATAGTAGCAAACTATTGGCATTCTGTGTGACTCAAAAATGCCTGAATAATTCAAGGCTAAGATCTACACTATATTTCACCCAGTAGCCCTCAATAGGGCAGAGTGCTAGCCAGCCACAAAGAAACATAAATGGAAATGAAAATACTAAGATGGATACTTGGCTTGACACTTCTTGACCATGTGCTGGACCATGGGAGAAATGACGGTAGCCATCAAAGACTAGGAATAAAAGTGATCAGCAAGAAAATACAAGAAGCAAGACTACGATGAGAAGAGAACCAATATCAGTAGTACAAACAGCACTACATTTGGAGATTGAAGGATGACAACCACATGGACGGCCAAAGAATAGATAGATGGATACCATCAACGAATACAAGCATGCTGCTAACGTGAGACCTGAGGACGCCGAAAACAAAGCCCTATGGAAATGACAGACACAATTGCTAACCCCTCCCCTGGGAAAATAGCTTAGAAAGAAGAAGACTCAAATAAACAGTTTAAGGGCATTCCTTCAACTCTGAATGATATGTATAAAATGATACATATCATTTTAAAACATGAACTTTGGAGATTTATAAAGGACTTTAGAACAGAGAACTATGAAGAATAATGTGAATGTGGTTTGTGAAATTAACCTCGAAGTAGAAATATATCTGGGTACTGTCCTTCTAAATATAATTATTGTATTCACACCAAGATCAATGGCAAGATTTAACAGAACACAGCATCATTTACTTCAAACACACATATCAATATGAGTTTTTATTTCAGTCCTCCAAAGCACACAAATGATACAAACAGGGCAATATGACAGAATTTCTCAGGTAACAGGTGTTTTTCCATGTTAACATCAAGTATCTAAAAGAACTGGAGAAGAAAGATTCCACACTGAGATCACTCATATGCTAATCAAAGCTCCATACCTAGTTACCATAAACAACAGACATCTTGGGATCTGAAACACTATGTGTTTCTCTTTGATAAGTCACCTTGTGTATCACTAAAATCCCACAAAATATGTTTTAAGGTATTTTGAAAGCCTCAGAAACATTAGCAGCAATGAAGAAACTTGTAAGAACAATATTTTACAGACTTCACATTTCTATAGTTTTGAGGAACTTGGGAACAAGAGATTCTGAGTCCCAGCCCATACTTCCCAACTCACTGGGAGCTCAGTTGA